TCAAAAAAACTCAAAAGCTAGCAGAAGACAAGAAATAACTAAGATCAGAGCAGAATTTAAGGAGATAGAGACACAAAAAACCCTTCAAAAAAATCAATAAATCCAGGAACTTGTTTTTTGAAAAAGTCAACAAAATAGACCACTAGCCAGATTAATAAAAAGGAAAAGAGAGAAGTATCAAATTGATGCAATAAAAAACGATAAAGGGGATATCACCACTGACTCCACAGAAATACAAACCGCAATCAGAGATTACTACAAACAACTCTGTGCACATAAACCAGTAAACCTGGAAGAAATGGATAAATTCCTGGACACATGCACCCTCCTGAGCCTAAACCAGGAAGAAGTTGAAACCTTGAACAGACCAATAACAAGGGCTGAAGCTGAGGCAGCAATTAATAGCCTACCAACCAAAAAAAGTCCAGGTCCAGACAGTTTCACAGCTGAATTCTACCTTGACATACAAAGAGGAGCTGGTACCACTCCTTCTAAAACTATTCCAAACAATCCAAAAGGAGGGAATCCTTCCAAAATCATTTTATGAGACCAACATCATCCTGATACCAAAACCCGGCAGAGACTCAATGAGAAAAGAAAACTTCAGACCAATATCCATGATGAACACAGATGCAAAAATCTTCAATAAAATACTGGCAAACCAATTGCAACAGCACATCAAAAAGCTTATCCATCACAATCAAGTAGGCTTCATTCCTGGGATGCAAGGCTGGTTCAACATACACAAGTCTATAAATGTAATCCACCACATAAAGAGAACCAAAGACAAAAACCCACATGATTATCTCAACAGATGCAGAGAAGGCCTTCGACAAAATTCAACAGCCCTTTATGCTAAAAACTATCAATAAACTAGGTATCCAAGGAACATATTTCAAAATAATAAAAGCTATTTACGACACACCCACAGTCAATATCATACTGAATGGGCAAAAGCTGGAGGCATTCCCTTTGAAATCCGGCACTAGACAAGGATGCCCTCTGTCACCACTCCTATTCAATATAGTATTGGAAGTTCTAGCTGGAGCAATTAGGCAAGAAAAAGAAATATAGGATATTCAATTAGGAAAGGAGGAAGTCAAATTGTCTCTATTTGCAGACATGATTGTATATTTAGAAGACCCTATCACCTAAGCCCAAAATCTCCTTAAACTAATAAGCGACTTCAACAGTCTCAGGATACAAAATCAATGTGCAGAAATCACAAGCATTCCTATATACCAATAACAGGTTGAGTGCCAAATCATGAGCTAACTCCCATTCACAATTGCTACAAAGAGAATAAAATACCTAGGAATACAACTAACAAAAGATGTAAAGGACCTCTTCAAGAACTACAAACCACTGCTCAAGAAAATAAGAGAGGACACAAACAAATGGAGAAACATTCCATGCTCAAGGTTAGGAAGAATCAATATTGTGAAAATGGCCATATTGCCCAAAGTAATTTATACATTCAATGCTATCCCCATCAAGCTACCAATGACCTTCTTCACAGAACTGGAAAAAACCACCTTAAACTTCATATGGAACCAAAAGAGAGCCCACATAGCCAAGACAATCCTAAGCAAAAAGAACAAAGCCAGAGGCATCACACTACTTGATTTCAAATTATACTACAAAGGTACAGTAATCAAAACAGCATGGTACTGGTACCAAAACAGAGATGTAGACCGATGGAACAGAAGAGAGGCCTTGGAGGCAATTCCACATATCTACAACCATCTGATTTTTTACAAACCTGACATAAACAAGCAACGTGGAAAGGATTCCCTGTTTAATAAATAGTGTTGGGAAAACTGGCTAGCAGTGTTCAGAAAGCAGAAACTGGACCCCTTTTTGACACCTTACACTAAAATTAACTCCAGATGGATTAAAGACTTAAACATAAGACCTAACACCATAAAAGCCCTAGAAGAAAACCCAGGCAAAACCATTTAGGACATAGGCACAGGCAAGGACTTCATGACTAAAACACCGAAAGTATTGGCAACAAAAGCCAAAATAGACAAATGGGACCTAATTAAACTCCAGAGCTTCTGTACAGCAACAGAAACAATCATTAGAGTGAACCAGCAACCAACAGAATGGGAAAAAATTTTTGCAATCTACCCATCTGACAAAGGGCTAATATCCAGAATCTACAAAGAACTAAAACAAATTTACAAGAAAAAAACAAACAAATCCATCCAAAAGTGGGAGAAGGTTATGAACAGACACTTTTCAAAAGACAACATATATGAGGCCAACAAACATATGAAAAAATGCTTATCATCACTGATTATTAGATAAATGCAAATCAAAACTACATTGAGACACCACCTCACACCAGTTAGAATAGCAATCATTAAAAACTCTGGACACAACAGATGCTGGAGCGGATGTGGAGAAATAAGAACATTTTTCACTGTTGGTTGTAGTGTAAACTAGTTCAACCATTGTGGAAGACAGTGTGGCGCTTCTTTGACCCAGCAATTCCACTACTGGGTATATACCCAAAGGATTATAAATCATTCTATTATAAAGACACATGGACACGTATGTTCACTGCAACACTGTTAACAACAGCGAAGACCTGGAACCAACCCAAATGCCCATCGATGATAGACTGGACAAGGAAAACGTGGCACATATACACCATGGAATACTATGCAACCATAAAAAATGATGAGTTTGTGTCCTCTGCAGGGACATAGAGGAATCTGGAAACCATCATTCTCAGCAAACTGACACAAGAACAGAAAATCAAACACCGCATGTTCTCACTCATAGGCAGGTGTTGAACAATGAGAACACATGGACACAGGCACAGGAGCATCACACACTGGGGTCTGTGGTGGGGGCCAAGGGAAGGACAGTGCGGGGGTGGGGAGGTCAGGGAGGGATAACATGGGAAGAAATGCCAGATGTAGCTGATGGGGGGGGATGGAGGCAGCAAACCACATTGCCATGTGTGTACCTATGCAACAATCCTGCATGATCTGCACATGTACCCCAGAACCGAAAGTACAATTTAAAAACCCATTAACATGGAGCTGAAAAGTTCCTACAGCCCAGTGGCAACATAGCCATCATAATGTCGTAGAGCAATTATCTTTCGAAAAATAAATTTAGTGTAGCCTAAGGGTACAGTGTTTATAAAGCCTACAACAGTGTACAGAATGTCCTAGACCTTCACATTCACTCACTACTCACTCAACTCACCCAAGCAACTTCTACACCCGCAAACTCCATTCATGGTAAGTGCCCTATACAGGTGTATTTTTTTTTTTTTTACCTTTTATACTGTATTTTTACGGTACCTTTTCTATGTTTAGACACACAAATACCATTGTGTCACAATTGCCTACAGTGGTTTTTTGTTTGTTTGTTTTTGTTTTGTTTTGTTTTGTTTTCGTTTTTGAGATGCAGTCTTGCTTTCTCCCCTAGGAATGCAGTGGCAGGATCTCTGTTCACTGCAACCTCCACCTCCCAGGTTCAGGTGATTCTCCTGCCTCAGCCCCCAGAGTAGCTGGGACTACAGGCTTGTGCCATCAAGCCCAGCTAATTTTTGTGTTTTAAGTAAAAACAGGGTTTCACCATGTTGGCCAGGCTGGTCTTGAAGGCCAGCCTCGGCCTCCTAAAGTACGGGGATTACAGGCATGAGCCGCTGTGCTGGACCAATTGCCTTCAGTGTTCTGTGATAGTATCATGCTGTACAGGTTTGTAATCTAGGAGCAATAGGCTACACCATATAACCTAGGTGTGTAGTAGGTTACACCATCTAAGTTTGTACAAGTACACTCTATGATATCTGCAATGATTAAGTCACTCAACAATACATTTCTCAGAACATACTCCCATCATTAAGAGATGCATGACTATATATATTTGTATGCCTTTTAAACTTCCTGGAAGAATGTACAAAAATATTAATAGTGCTTATAACAGTGAATGGTATGGAAGGAAGGAAGGAAAGAAGAAAGGACAGGATTCTATTTTTATATCATATACTTCCATAGTGTTTGAATTATTTTCATTGAATATATTATTTTTATTATTTTTAAAAGCCTCTTCTTCCCACCTTCTTGTCTTGTCTATTTCAGCCTAGCCAACTAGATTTTCTCAGGATTGAGTTTATGTATACCATATTAACTCTGTCTCAAGTTCATAAGCATTTATCTCCCAAGATTATTCTTCCCAAACCACTTTAGGTTTAAGTACGACGTTTCCTAGGTCTTTAACTTATGATTAACCAAATGAAACCATCAATAGATGGACCCCCTAATCCAGGTGTTGAACTGCAAAAATGACATTTCGGGGAGTGGGGAGACGCTAACTCAATTCTGTCAGTTGAAACATAACAAACATTAGCAATGCCACATTGTCACGAAGCGGAAGGTCAAAGACCCATACACCCTTCACTGGGCGGCATGGTGGGACTTAATTGGGGCAGTTCCGGTTCTGCCATTAGGACCAGGAGCACTCCAATCTCAATGAAAGTGTATAAGACACTGCCATTATCCCCGGATCATTGCAACGATAGACCCAAACAACTCCAGTCTATCGTGTCAATGTGCATTTGGGGAGTCTTTAACACACGGATCATTGGCCAGCTGCGCCATACAGAGCCCTGTAGGAGCTGCGGCCGTGTATGGAATCAATGCACACTCGGGGACTCCCCCATGCCCGGATCATTTGCAGTGCATCGTGTCAATGCATACTCCGGGAGCCCTTACTCCAAAGCTTGAGTGAGGAGTAACAGTGAACACCAAAAATACTTATGAAATAGTTGTTACAGTGCATACACAATATTCACTTTTCTAAATGGCATGTCGACAAGTTTAGAGTGCCACAAATAACTCCTAAAAGGCACGAAACACTCCTAGAGGCCCACCTTCACACATGAATGGTTGGTCCATGGAATTGTGGCATGGCTGTAGGGGAGTGTGAGTTTTTTAAATGAACAAAGGGAAAAGAAAGAGACATCTGCTACTTACTGTTGTCAGGGTTTTCAGCAGAATCCCAAACACCTCCTAATTATTTTCCTGGGCGTTTGACGTCTAAGATACAAGGACCTTCCCTCCATCCCTGCCCTGTTCCAAAGCACCTGTAGAGCAAGGTGAGAGGGCAAGGTTAGAAGATGGATTGGGTTGGGTCATAAGTGCGGTCCCATGGAAATATAATGTGAGCCACATGACTAAATTTAAATGTTCTTTGTAGCCACATTTTTTTTAAAGTAAAAAAGAACCAGATTTAATTCATACTTTATTTCACCCGATATACCAAAAATGTTATCATTTCAATATGCGATCATTGTTTTTAAATGATGAATGAGCCAGTTGACATTCTTTTTTTCATAGTCTTCTTTACAATGGAATGTGTATTTCCCACTTTGGAAACATCTTGGTCTGGCCTGGCCACACTGCAAGCGCTCAGCAGCCTCTCGTGGTCAGGGCTGCCCCAGTGAGTAGCACAGCTGCAGAGGCCCAGGAAAACCAACCCCGGGATCGTGGACGTTCACTGCCTTCCTTCACCCACTCCAGGCAGTTGCATCCACCTTTCCGCCTCATTTCCTCACCCGGGCTGCAACTGCGGAACAGCCTTTTCTCAGCAGCCTGACAGAATAGCTGTGTGCTGGGTTTCTGAAATCATAAAAATGACCACAGATGTGCATTCGGAAAGAGGGCTGAAAACTCCTCTAGGCCCAACGGTAATGCCAGTACTAGGTCATCCTTCCTGGAGACGGAGATAAAGGGAGGGCTAGGGGCCCCTCCCGAAGGAAAGAGGGGGCGGGCGTGGCATCCAGTGCGAGGGCGCCTGCCATGTTGCAACCGCAACCGCGAACTTCCCCAAACCTGCCGCCAGCGAACCTCCCGGCGTGCGGGGACGCAGAAGCGTGGCTGGTTCCTAGGGCTGAGTCTGGCGGGACACAAAAGACTAGGGAAAGGAGAGGGAGACGGAGACAAAGGCGCGGGGGAGGACAGGGAGGCGCGCGCGGTCGCGGGGCGAAGCGGGGATGCGGGGCGGGCGCGCGCAGCCCGGGGCTCCCGGGACTCGCGGGCGGGAGCAGCCGGAGCGGGCAGGGCGATTTGAATATCAGGCTCTGCCACACTCGGGACGCTACTGACAACTTCATTACCTCCGCATATAAAAATGACTGCCGGGGAATGCAAATAGCTCGCCCGTCTCAGCCGCCTGCCCGCGTTCCGCTGCCGGCGGCAGCCCGAGGCGCAGACGCGCCCTGTCCAACATAATGAACGGCCGGGCGGCGGCTCCGCCCACGCCCCCGCGCCCGCGCCGCCGAGCCCGGCCGGAAGGGGGAGCCGGCCCGGTGCGGGAGGGGGCGGCGGTGGGCGGCCGGGCGCGGTTCAGAGGCCGGCCCTGCTAGTCAGTGTCGGCGCGGTCCCTGCCTCTGGACTCTGTCATCCAGTTAATGCTGTGACAATGCCGGGGAAACAGAGTGCTCGGTGTGCTCCACTCGTGACCGCGAACCCTGACGGAAAAACGGGACCCCCGGCGTCCGTCCCGCGCGGCCTGGTGGTTAAATTGGACGCCAGCATCCCGGCGCCCCGCTCTCGCCTCTCGGGCAAGCCGGTGAGGGGCGTGCGGCGCCATACTCTCCAGGCCTGCGGCCACACGGAGGAGGCTGCGTCGCTGTGCGGGACCGCCTCCCGAACCCCCGGCCTTGCTGAGCTCCCCCCTTGTGGCCACCGAGGCCAGCCTCCTTCGAAAGGGAACGCAGGCTTCACGGCGCCTTCTCCTTGCCCTAGCTCGCTCTTCGGCAGGAAGTCATCTCCTGCCTTCTCACAGCTCCCCCTGTCACATTTGGGCCCCTTGTGAAATTCTCGAGGGGAGGAGCTACGTCACTTTTATTAATAATATCATTAACGACAATAGGAAACATCTGAGGACTACTCTATGCAAGGCACTATGCCAACTGCTTACCTACATTATGTTTATCACAGCGACCTGACTGCTCTCCTGGAAACCCAGGTTTAGCAAAGCCTTTCAAAGGGGCCCTGGATAACCCAGCTAGGATGGGAGGGAGCACAGATGAGAACCCAGGCCCCTCTGCGCTCTCAGTCACTCTGCAGTATTTTCCGGGTCCTTCTGAGAGCTCACATACCTGTCCCACACTCGTTTCTTCCCCTGCCGCCCCCACCCATCTTAAGGCAGCCCCCGCCCCCACTCCCTCCCCCACTCCCTCCCTCTCCTTGGCCCAGAAGTAAATCCTAAGTAGTCTAAATCTGTTATGGCTAACCCCTTCCCTTGCCCAGGCATTGGCTCAGAAAAGAGCATGTGACCAGTCCTGGCGAAGGCCAAGTGAGGGGACATCTGCTGGGGTTTTCTGGGAAGTGCTTCCTTGCTCTAAAAAAAGACACCCATAGAAGTGATTCCAGTTTCTTCCGCTGTATAATGTGTATCCACCACCTGGTAACCATGGAGGAGCCAGGGAACAAAATCATTGCAGAGATTTACAAGGTTAAGTGAGCTAACTCAAGGGTTAGGAGAATCATATTTTAGTCTTCTATCTGCGACGAAGTCATGCTGCCTCGTGTTTATTCAAGGACATATTTAAAGTTAACTCCTTTTTGAAACAAAACAAGATGTAAAAATGTAAACAAGGAAAATTCCAGAAATTTGCTCTTGCCCCCAGGGGTACCAGGATTAAAGAGTGTCTGGTTCTAGGTACTTCGATGGAACCTCTCACTTCCAGCTTCTCTTCCTGGGCACTCACCTCTAACTCATTCAGCCTCGAGGCTCTAAGCCGCTTTTTTTCCCCAGGACACCTTTTCCCTCAAAACAAATCTTTGCCTACACAGGCAAGGCATCTGTTCCCTCCAGGAACATCGGAACCCCCTTCTAACCATCCTGCACCCACACACCCAGGCGTCTGAGCTGACTGCCTTTGAAATGTTGACTGGCCTTCAAATAGCCTATTTTAAGAATTTGCATCTTGTTCTTTGGGAAAATCAGTCATAACCAGTCACTTACTACTAGTTTCCTTGGCAGCTGTTTTAAAACAGAATCTGAATTGTAATAAAAATGGATTTTTATGGTTTCACTAAAATCTTACACACTTTTCATGAAAATATACCATAAAAACTATATAAAGTATATACATACTATATGTTTTATTAATTTATGTGGAATCAATGCATGGTAACTAAAATGTCTCTGTTCCCCACTGCTATGGAAAGGCAGCCCACCCTTCCATAGCAAGACATTTAAGACCCTCCACAGTCTGCACCTAACCCAGCTCCAGCCTTATTTGTCTACTACAGTACACCCCCGAATCATGCCATTGCATTGCCTCTCCCATGACATTCTCTAGAATGCCCTTGAACTCCATATCCAACTGTTCAAATACCACCAAGAATCCTTCCAAGTCCAGATTGAAAACCATCTCTTCCAAGAAGCTTTTCCCATTCCTCACATATAATGACACAAATTGAGTTACTTAGTATTTATTTTCAGCAATATTTAGCATGTTTTATTTACTGATACCCAGTATTGTTAAAGTAATGCACATTTCCAAACAGTTGGTTGGCTTAAATATTACCATGCAAACAATTAAAATGAGTAATAAGTATTATCAGCAGAACTGTATAAATCTTCCTCCCAACTTAAGGCTGAGCTGTTCTCTCAGATGTGATAAAATAAAGCTTCATACACTGCTTGCTTTTGTTAGGAGAACTTTCATTTCAGTAATAGAAAATCTGTCTGTAATAGCTTCAAAAATGAAGAAAATATAGTATCGGAAGTCCCAAGGTAGCAGATGCTAAGTTTGGTTAATTCAGTGGGTCAAAAATGTTTAGTTTTGTCAAGTTCTTCTCATCTTTCCAAAACTCTGCCATCCTCAGCTTGTTGACCTTGTCCTTAGCTAGTTCTCATCAAGGTCTTAAAATGGCTGGCACAGTTCCGGGCATCACTTAAGACATGGCAAAGGCTAGCCAAAAAAGTTGACTGTTCTCTTAAATGTTTTAAGAGTGGAGAAATTATACCAAAGATCCCTCAGATCTTTTCTCATTGGCCAGAACCAGGGCACACAGCTATCTCTATACTACCACTGGCAAGGGAGGCAAGATTATCAGAATTGATACTAATCAAGATTTAGCCTTGGATTATATTCGGGGTAAGGGGAGCGGGGCAGGAGAGCAGGGAACTGACAGGACAGGCAATGACAAAACAAAAACTGAATTTTAGTCAGTTTCCCAGTCATCAATTTCTGCATCCAAACTATCCCAAAGCTTAGTGGCTTAGAAAATTTTTTGGTTTTTTTCTAGAATCTAGACTGGGCTCCCAAGGAATGAGGGAGAATGACTATTGAGTAGGCACTAAAAATATCAGCAACATTTTTTCTTTTTTTTTTTTTTTTTTGAGACAGAGTCTCACTCTGTTGCCCAGGCCAGGCTAGAGTACAGTGGTGCTACCTCAGCTCACTGCAACCTCTGCTTCCCTGGTTCAAGGGATTGTGTGCCTGAGTAGCTGAGATTACAGAGGCATGCCACCATGCCTGGCTAATTTTTGCATTTTTAGTAGAGATAAGGTTTTCACCATGTTGGTGAGGCTGGTCTCAAACACCGGACCTCAGGTGACACACCCACCTCAGCATCCCAAAGTGCTGGGATTACAGATGTAAGCCACCGCACCAAGCCAGCATCAGCAACTTATGATGGCTTATTATTTGAAGATCAAAACCCAGTCACACTTTGATTATTCTCTTATTGGTTCTTTCTACCAAAAAAAAAAGTGTTTGAAAAAATGACATTGATTTAGTCCAGGCATCCCCAAACTTTTTACACAGGGGGCCAGTTCACTGTCCCTCAGACCGTTGGAGGGCCGCCACTTACTGTGCTCCTCTCACTGACCACCAATGATAGAGGTGCCCCTTCCTGAAGTGCGGCGGGGGGCCAGATAAATGGCCTCAGGGGGCCGCATGCAGCCCGCGGGGGCCCATAGTTTGGGGACACCTGATTTAGTCGATAGTAAACTGATGGGCTGAATTCAACTGATAATTTTCTTAGGGGGGCAGTAAAATCATGTTTGCTCTTTTGATTTGCCTTCTCCCCACTAAATAACTAGCCATATTATGGATCC